AATGAACTGAAGGAGGTCGCAGCACAGCAGCTGCAGCCTTGACCATCCCTGGCCCTCTGCCAACTAACCATCAGGAATCCTCCACCTTGGATCTGCTCTTTATGAACCCAGATAAGCAGCACAGGCCCATTGCTTCATGATTACAGCTACTGAACCCCAATACTAGAAGTTCCAGTTCTAGCCTCACCTCCTCCTTAGGAAACTAGGGCTCTCTCTGCCAATCAGTGTGATCAGTCTTGACAACATATCAGTTGGTGAAAAATATAAGCACTTAGTGAATGCCTCAAGGGCAGTTGGCATTGCCACAACACTGGTGGTTTCACAGAAGATGTCACAGTCTCTCCAGGATACAATAGAATTTCCAGAGAATGGACTGTTAGGGCCACTGCCAATGATCATCACCTATCTGATAACAAGCTCTTCCCAAATTCACCAAAAGCCAAGCTGCCCTTTCCAGGAGACTTTCCTGAGTCACAGGGGAAGGCCTTCAGTACCTCCTCCTTCCAATCCCAAGATCCCTTTGATTCATTAGAATCAAGTTCATTCTAATTCAATAGTTCATCATGTGTGGAGAGCAAGAATCATTTTCCAAACACCACCCTGGAATGGCTCTTCTCATCCTGATGATTGCCAGCTAATAAGATGAGAAATTAAGAATGGGAAGAAATTAGCTCAGGACATTGGGGAAGGAAAAATCAGTTCCATGAGGTGAACAAGCACATCAGAGAAGATCCACGGGGCTGTTACATTTATTGGGGTGGTGGAGGATTATGTGGGTCCTGTCAAAACAATGATAAGTCACACAGGTAGTGATGAAACTTTTGCCAAAAGCCATTGTGATGTTAGCAAAGGTGTTATCAACTACTGATGGGTATGACTGAAAATACCTAAGGACTGGGCATCCCCAGGTGAGCTGTCAGACACCAAGAACAAATAATTACAGGAAGAGTCATGTCCTAATCCTGCACTCAAGGTAGAGGAAAGAGGACTGGCTAGTGAGAGGGCAGGAACTCAGAAACCTTAGGGTCACTGACATGCAGCAATACTTGGTGGCTCCTGCCCTGCCAGTGGTTGTTATTTAAAATGTGAGACTCTCAATCTCTGGCCAGAGGACTTTACTCTCCCTGCTATTAGTGACACACACCAAAAGAAATCCAGTGTGGGTGAAGTGCAGGGCTGGAACTGAAACCTCTTTAGTCCCTCTGTCCTTCCTTCCCACTCAGAGTGAAAGCAGAGGGCCCTCAACAGAGCAGCTTCAGCCTTGACCATCCCTGGCTCTCTGCCAAACTAACCATGGGAAAACCTCATCTCTGGGTCTGCTCTTGAAGAACTCAGAGGACCAGGATAGGCCCATAATTGCTTCTCAGAAACTCTCCCCTCCTGAGCCCCACTCCTGGAAGGAGCAGCTCAAGCCTTCCTTCTTCAGGAAGCTCCCCTTCCCTCTCCCAGGACTCACTGTGCTTTCCCCAGAACCATTTGTTTCTTGATGTCTGACATGGAGACTGAAGGCCATCTTCCTTCTGCCTCCCTCTGATCTCCCTGTGCTCTCCATCCTCTCTCCCAAGAATCCTGTTCAGTCTAGTCAGCATGTCTGTAGGTGAAACACGAGACACTGTCC